GCTGCAGCCACTTAGGTAAGGAAATTTCAATAGAGGCTGGTATCCTGCCTAGGGGTGGCATCACGATGGGGGAAGCGAAGGCATCATGTGTGTTGGGAATGCGAGTCACCGGACGCATGTGGAGAATAATGATAACGTGGAGGATTTTACTAAGCGCGCAGTCCGCACAGGAGTTGCCTTATGTAGATTTTCCTCTCGTTGTGCACATATACGCACGGACATTGGCCCTAAATCATTAGTTATATTCCTCTATTTTACATCTGCGCTACGAGTGAGCCGCTGGGAGATGGGTTGCCATACTTGGAATGCCGTTTACAACAATGTGGTGAACATGGTCAGGCCTAGGCAACGTGAGTGGAGTCCTTCGGTGGACCGCTTCTACGAATGAAAGTGATTTATAGCTTCTGTGATGCGAGGGACTCATGCCGGATGATCGCAGTATTCGCCACTCCGAGACCAAGGATCGATATCCAGTCAGAGCATAGGGGAAATCGGCTGGTCCTTTATTAACGCTAGAATCTCATATCCAGTGGCGCCAGGATCTTGGAACTGACATAAAAGGTGTCGTAACGTCAGAAGGATGAACTAGGTTGGCGAGGGCAAGTCGCGATTTTTTACGGTTTCCAAAGCGAGGTGGGATCGGTGACTGAGCACAAAGAGCCAATGGAGCGATTAACGAGCCGTTCTATTTATGGTTGTTTGTACAGTATGTATTTGTATGTACAGAACTGGAAATTGGGTGGAGAAGTTATCTGGGTCCACGAGTGCTGTTTCGCCGTGACGCCAAGCTGTGTGACTTGGACGCGACTCGACCAACGCGGACGCAGCGCTTTTGACACTATTTACTCATCCTGGTGCTCCAAACAATGTGACATGCGTGTTGAAAGGGTTGAGTGTCCCCACTTGTGACGAAACGTGCGTCGCGTGCAGTGCAGTGGCGACGCACGCACTCTATCCTGGAGGAGAGCCTGAAAACTTTTACCCCTTATAAAGGAACGCCAGGAACTTCCTTCATTAGACCCCCCCCCGGCAGATAAGATCGTGGTTTCTCCCGCAACGCCTCCAATTCTGCGTCCTTCTGTGCCAATCGACTCCGGAACGAAGGTATGACCCGCCTCCGAAGCGAATGCATAAGCTCCGCAACGCGCCCCCATTCCACCTCAGAATCCCGAAAAGTGTTGTGATGTGGCCCATCCCAGATGAAATGGTCATAGAAATTAATCGCTGGTGCCATTATTGTTGGTGTGCGTTGGGCGTCCTGGAACATAGCGCACAGATACATTGCCACCTCGGAGTGATTCCGAACTTGGGACGGCGCAAAGCATAGTGTGGAAAGTGGATGATTCGAAGGAAGGGGAGGGTCGTCGAGGGAGAATTGGGAGCCCGAGACGTCCGTATCGATGTATAGTGAAGCACGCTCAAGACGAGGGCATACGTTCGCGATCGATCGTATCACTTCCAGCGTTAGACCCGGAGGATAATTATTATCTTCGAAGTGTATCTGAACCTCTGTCGGGATCAACCCCAAAACTTCAAAGTTGGGCATCTTAGAGCATAGATTCACCAAATCAGTATTGTTAATCGTCTCAACGCCGTCGGTGCAGACTACCAAATGGGTGAGATTAGGCGATAGTGGAAGTTTCAGCACAGGGAACTTGAGACCAGGGGTGACGAGGAGCAAGCCTGTACACATTGTGACTATTTGGACCAGCGACTGCTCTGTTGACGGATCATCCTCGTCTGTCAGTAGCAGCCTGAGAAAACGCACGCCACCCAAGGGATAATACCCTAGGACAATGACTGCTAACTGGGACGGAATCGCTATCTCGATAGTGTGAAGGGAGGGGAATGGAGTCTCCAATGTAGGGGGTTCGAAACCGTCCCAAGCCGAAGAACCGAATATGTCGAGGCGGAATCCCTTCTGGAGGAATGGTGAGTTGATTTCCCTTAAGCTAGGGAGTTGGGCAATGCATGTCCATACTATTGGGGTAAAAAGAAATTTCCAGTCTGCACTCAAGCAAACAAGGTTAACCAGCTGCTTCAATACGCTCGAAAAGCAATCATTGAAGGCTTCACTAAATCCTGAAGTTTCGCCGATGTGTAGACTGAGGGATGTCAAGGAGGCACCGTGATGATAAAGCGATCGGATGACTGGAAGATAGACGGCTTCGGTAGAGTCAAGGATCGATAGTGTGATGTTGGAAGGGCGTGTAACAAGCCAAACGCCGGAACTCCTGGTTGCATCTGGTCCATAGAGGACGCAATCCAAAGAAACGAGGTGCGGAAAAAGTGGCGAATGCAAAAACTGTACTGCCTGAGTAAACTCGCTGATCAGTCCAGGATGAATGCAGTGGGTTCGGACCCCGGTATGGACAACAATGGATTGAACAAATTTTGCATAAAATTGGAGCCTTGGTAGTGCCCTAAGATCCATGCTGGTGATCATGGTCTGCATATCAAAGTAGATACCGTTTATGCTCACTCATGAGCAGTGGTGTCACGAGACACTCACATAGGGACCTGATTACGGTGTTCACGCATGTTAATCTCCCCAACCCTCCCCAGCAGCCGAAGGAGAGGTAACGGAGTCTTGAGCTCTCGCCACAGGCTTCGCAGAGCAGGGAGGGATCCTCCATAATTTGCAAGTTCGCGCTGCCGATGCCAGAATTGCGTTAGGGCAACCGTCGAAGAAAACCGTCAAAATGTCCAAGAGCCGTAATGCACGAGGCATTACAGCCATTTGGCCCTCCTCCAATGGAGCACCGTGTGTCTCATAGGCGGCATTCATAGAAAAGCGGCCTATAGTAATCTAGTTGTTTAGATGTTTAGATCCAAGGTACGCCTGAAAGGGGTGCTCAGGTGGTGTTGTGGCCACAGCACCGTAGCCTCAAGGCTTGTCTTTCGAGGACGAGAGGTACTCTCGGGGCCAAAAAATTCTGACGCTAAGAAACGTGACTTTTTCCTTTAGACCGAGGTGCACCATTCCTTGTTAACTGCACCTCCGCTCACGGAGACGATGTTTCCTCCGTCCACCGATCGCAATTTATCCAAGCTATTCCCTCCATTTTTCTGACGCTTCATCAATGCTGTTCTGGTCACACGAGTCAAATACCTACTTATTGAAATGGTTTCTTGGATACACCCCGATTCTGATTCATTGTGACTCTGTGACTATTCAGTTGTTTGAAACCAAAGGTTTGCTCCATACACTCTGCCCTCTCAAGTGGACGCATTTTAGCCTCACTTTCTTCATGATCAGTCTAACCTGTTGTAGTGAGTGTCGTGCGTGCCGTACAGGGTAGACCCTGTGAGCACTCTGGTTCAACCCCTGTGCTGTGGCAAACTGGCAGTACCGTTCAAGGGTTGCTACGCTGGGGACTTCGCTGTGTGTTTGATCCAGGTCAATTGCATTCCGATCCTAAACCGTAGGGACTCTCTCCTCCGGATGAGCGCTGTTCTTGCCGTTCCACTAGCCATTTGTCCGAGCAGACTCTTTCCATCGGAAAAATTCCCCCCATTTCCAAGTCGCGCTAGCCTCCATTTAACAGACTAGGGCTTTACATGCAAGTCAAAAGAGCCCTTCGCTGCAATTTCAGTCAACAATACTCCTACCGCTGCACAGGCTCCGCAACTTTCACCATGCAGCAATACCTTGTTGCCATTGGTAACCCCATGTTCTCCACTTCTGGGTCAGTGCCTCCCGAGGATCCCTAACGGTGCTTTTTTCCCATCGAGTTCTTGGTCGCTGGACCAGGTGATTCTCAAGTAACATAGTTGAACGACGAAATCATATTAATCCAATAATTTGGCACTTATGTAAGGGCGGTGATACAAGAATGGTCATCCGAAACCTCCATTTATAAGCTTAGCTAGAGCATCTGTTGAGACCGGCACCACAGAACTGAGCAACTATGATATAAAGCAGCAACTATAGAGGGTTCCACGATGCTTTCAGGCGATATCTATAACGGAAGTCAAGTTGATCCTCACCAATCCAACGAATATGCTGAGAGCCAAGATTCTCTGGTTTTTCCAAAACTCACGCCGACGGACATCCCTTGCCCTAAAATCCCTTGGATGTTTAGCGAGCACAACCCGATGATCGAGGCGCAGATTCCACCTACCCTCTTCTAAACGCCCACGCTTGACCGCTTAGGTTATCCGTCTTATCGACCAGTAACTCTATCCTCTCTCCACGACTCAAAATTTGCTCAACATTATGCACCATAATATCTCGGACCTGGTTGAGCTCTTCTCGAGTTTGAGTAAGGACATCGGTAGGAGGGGATGTGGTAAACTGATGCATAAGCTCGCCAATTCGAGGGGAGAATTCATTTAACCCATACGGGGGGGCATCAAAAATAGTATCCTGCGAATAGGCCGCATTGAACTATGAGGTCGAAGTTAGAAGGGGCGCGGAAATGTCCATTATTTGAGAAGCTAACCCACCTGGTGCTGCAGCTCAGTTAAGAAGGAGAATGGCATCCTACGGCCAACAGAATCATCCGCCATTACCATGTAGGTGAGGCCACCTTCCGACACATAATGAAACAGGTACTGCTCCCAAACATCTGAAGTTCGAATTGGAGGAGTCAATCGAGAGTATAAGAACAAATCAACGAACAAGTCAGCTTCGAGTTGTTTGGAGGTATCTTATTAAGAATTGTTTGGACCGCTATAGTGATGAGGGATCTGTAGATGTCCCATAGAAGCTGCGGAGTTGTAAAGGCTGACCATTCGAGAAGTTGTGTGCGCCAGCACTGTGCTCAGCGAGAATAACAGAGCCGCGAGCAGCCAATGCATGTATGAGACTCTTATAAGATGCAATTGTGAGCACCTGGGTGGAATCGGAAGAAGCGTGCAGCTGCTCACCATGTTTGATGGAGTGAAGCAACACCGCCACGAGCCCTGGCAGACCGGCAATTCCCAGCTCAACCGCTGGCACTTTAATAATTCAATATCTTGCGTCGCTCCTTCATCACTAAACGACCATGGTATGCATGTCCAAGCTCGTGTGGGGGGTAGTAAAGGCTAAACACCATATTTATGCACCTCTTTCTGTGGAAATAATTTACTTAGTCATCTGACGAGTCTTCCCCATTGCTGTCTGGGCCTGCACCTCGACCTGGTGCAGCTTCTGCGGCCGTTGCTCGTCCACCCGGTGCCGGACAAGTCAGGTCCGTTAACTACCGCGTGAAAGGAATGATTAATTGATGAATACTTTCAACTTCTCCCAGACGCCGCGCTCAGAATACTGCTCAAAAGCCCAACTCAGCACGCGCAGCTGGTGCAGGAGGGTCGAGCGGGACGATGTTGAGACTGTATACGGATGATTCACAAGGGCTCAGAGTGTGAGTCTCTGAATGTGCTTGTTGATGCATGCTGGACCTTTGACATGGACATCTTGTTTCCCTCAGCGACCCATTCGTCGTAATGGTCCTTTCAATTGTTTTCATCTTCTCAATATTCTTCCTCCATCTGGCTGCCAAAGTTGTGAAATACTTCACGAAGTGAATTCTGATATATTCACTGTTCTTTATGGTGACAAATGGATGAACAAAACCTCGCCTCACGACCAAATTCTTTCCATCAGACCCTCTGTCTATGATTTTGACTAAAGATCCACAAAAGCTCCCCACCATCACAGTGACGACTAGGGCCCAACCCTAGTTTTTCCTGTGATTCTGCCCTGATGCTTCAAGAGTCAGCCGTGGCAAGGGTCAATGCCCAGCATAGCTATACGGCAGCGAACGGGAATCGCACCAAACACTGAGCAAATTGATTGAATTATACTGCACAACGAGATCAAAATGTGTCCATCGAGACAGCGCAAGGTGTTGATTGCAAGGAAGACATCATACGAATCGAGAAGGGGGTAAAAAGGAGGGCTCGGCGGCGCTCAGTAGTTTACGCTGATGAGGTAGTCGGCGAGTTTTTCGACGACATTTATGGCCTCTGGGCCTTGGATAGGAGCGAGATAGATAGCGACCAGAATTGCCTGGCTCGTTTGTACAAGCACAATTCCGTCGGGCTAGGGAAGAGAGAATCGGGTAGCCACGTGGAGGGCGAGAGCGTAATAAGGGGTTAACCGACACCACGGTATGAGCCTGTCAGCAAACAGCAAGATCGGATTGTCGTGAAGGAGAGCACTGACCCCCTTTTTCCCATAAATGCTCCGTTCAGTGGCATCCGTGTAGAAGTACTTGACCCCTGCCGCTCGGATGCCCTTTGACTGCACCGACTCCTTGTTAGCTAATGCCTGTATAATCTCGGTTTGCTCTTGCGCCGAGAGCTACATGAGGTCTTCAGCGGGTATTCTGTAAGCATTAAGAAGTGGCTTCGTACATCGAACCCCGCTGAACTGGCCCAGACACCCCCCTGTCTGCCAATAATGGCGGCTCTAGAAACTTTGCCACTCCCGATGAGATGGGTGTCGACGTAAGCTAATTCGATCCAGGCACATCCGTCAGTACGTGCTAAATTGGCCACTCGGGCGGTCAGATATGCAATATCGCCTCACTTTGCCAGGACATCGTGCTTGACTACGGTGTTGAACAGCTGAAGAGGAAACTCCGATCTCGGCTGGATCCGAATCGCAGCCCCTGAAGTTTTTTGGATCATATCGCTGCATTTACACATTCTAGTACTCATTTTCCACGCCATGGCTCGCAAGTTTTTCGTTGGAGGTAATGTTCTGGTGCTTCGCTAGGGGTTGAGCTCTTTGGGATTGAGATCGGCACATCAAGGCAATTTTAAAATGAACGGAACGCTTGCGTCCCTTCAGAAGCTGGTCGCGAATTTAAACAGTGCCCAGCTATCGAGCGACAGTGGTCAGTTTCCCGTCTCCGCCCCTCAGTAATCCCAGACACTTAAAGTGTATAATCTAACGTATCAAGAGGTGGTCATTGCCCCTCCTTCTCTCTACGTCCTTCCACTCAAGGAGCTAGTCCGCAAAGACGTCGCAGTCGGGGCCCAGAACGCACACATCGAAGTTAGCGGAGCGTTCACGGGGGAGATATCTCCGAAGCAGCTTCACGAAGAGGGCGTCCCATGGGTTATCCTTGGACACTCAGAGCGGCGCTCGCTTTTCCACGAGTCGCACGAAATTGTGGGAAAGAAAACCAAAGCTGCATTGGATGTTGGTCTCAATGTTATTTTGTGCGTTGGAGAGACTTTACAAGAGCGCGAGGCTGGGAGGACTATTCAGGTAGTTGAAAGCCAGCTTGTTGCCGTTGCGAAGGAAATCAAGGATTGGAGGTGGGTGGGGGCTCATATCTGAATCCAATTCACTTATCATTTCATCAGTAAAGTTGTCATTGCATATGAACCTGTATGGGCTATTGGTACAGGGAAAGTCGCCACTCCTGAACAGGTACGCATACGTTGTTTCTAGCTCGGTTTGTGTTTGAAGCTCTGTTTGTGGCGTGCGTCTTAGGCCCAGGAAGTTCACAAGGATATTCGATCCTGGATTGTTCAGAACATCGGGGAAAGCGTAGCTGAAAGCATTCGCGTCATCTACGGTGGGAGTGTGACTGCGGCGAACTCCATCGAACTCGGTACGAGGACCCCAAGGATCTTACCTTACCGCCAGCTCACGCCCAAGCCATTTTAGCAAAACAACTCGACATTGACGGATTTCTTGTTGGCGGCGCATCCCTCAAGCCCGAATTCGTCGACATCATCAACTCCAAAAATAAGACGAATAAGCTATGAGTCCTCGGCTGAATGCCATGAGCATTACAGAATTTTAGAGACAAATAAAGCACAAATGTAAACTAGGTATTGTAATGTCATAGGTAGTACAGAATGCATACGAACGGAAGAGATTTAAAAGACACCGACCCTGAATCATGAATCATCGGAATGTGGCTGTTTCTGCGGCTCCGCAAGGACACTTTTACTTTGAGCCTCAGCTCGCTTTTCTTCTCTTAATTCACGATACCGCCGTATTACTCTTTCTCGCTCCTCTTCTATGTCTTGCTTATCCTTGAGTGAAAGGACGTCCTTTGCAATATTGTCCCGCTGGGGGGCTTTTCGAGTAGCTGGCTTCAAAGTTGGTGGAGCCAAGACGACATCGTTTAGTCGCGTGAATTTCGGCAGAGTATCAAATTCAGTTTTTCGAGGTGTTTGTGAGGGAAAGGTGATTTGGGGATTTGAAGATGGGGTCGATGTCGTTGTAGAGTTCGAGTTCTTGGATTTTTTGGAAACCTCTCTTTTCGTTTTTATCTCTGTCCTTTTGGCTTTACGTATAGCCTGAAAATCACCACTCCTAAACGAATCTTCTACCCGTCTGTGGTGCGTTCATATCAGATATCGGTGCCCTGAGAAGCAATAAACCTACGAACCGGTCAAACGATTCTAAGGACTCTCCAGGCTGGATTGGGAGTATGATTCCAATATGGGTTAGTGCATCACGGGGAAAGTCCATGAACGCACCTGGATTTTGAGCTCAATCGAAGTGTCTTCTTCCTTCCGACGTTTACTCTTCGTAGATTCCTCAACCTCTCGCCCCCTTTTTTTCCTTTCTCGATGCTCTTGCATCATTTTCTCGGCTCCAAAGATCCACGCGGCACGCTTAGGTATGTCGTTCACGTCATTGCGTGGCGGCAAGTCCGTGCCCCTATTGACAGGTTTCATAATAAGCACTGGCGAGCAAGACAATCAATGCTGATGCTACCTTTTCTTTCTTTCCAGCTCCCTTTGAGACCTTTTTGGCCGTTTGTGGGGCATTCTTCAACGCTAAGGAAACTCCAAAAAAATAATTGGGCATAGCCACAGTAGAATTCACACGCCCATGATGACAACCGACTTGAGCATGACGGAGGATGCTGGCTTGTCAACCCCAATTTTAATTTTAATTTATCTGGGCTCGGGTTCAAATTCCGAGCCCCACCTGGGGCATGGCTTGGCGATATACAGAGATGCAAAGAGTGCTAGGACTCGGATTAAGAACCAGCTAGGAATGTCAGAAAAAAGTACCTCAGTTCAAGATTTCAGATAACACGAATTGGGAAAGCATTTCCGTTTATGAGGCTGCGCTTACAAGTGCGCATAAGGTGCAAACGTAGGAGGCGCCACACTCAACGGCGGGACTTGTTTTAGCGTAGCCATCGGGAGCCTGACTTCGAACAAGTCATCCACCTGCTACATGCAGTTGCGAGACTGTCAAGTTGACGGCATTGTGGATTTGGGATGTATATTCCATTATGTAATGTGAGACTTAAGTAAGATTCTACCTTAGATAGCGTTCATACGGGGAATATGGCGTATCGTTAGGTGTTTAAAATCCAGGAAGTTTCAGTATTCCACCGTTCGAGCACCAAGCTTCTAACTCCTTCGTAGAGGTGATCTGGCATCCAAGCCTACTCCTCTTGTCGTCGCGAAACAGGGCATATTCAAGCATATCCTCTTCTGTTTCGGACATTGGAGGTATCGGTGCTTCAGGGCCGTTTGCAGGTGGTACAACGTAAATATGACAGGTGGCGCACTTAACAGATGCAAAAAGATGAATGCTTCCCGGCTTTGCAAGAACTAGTTATAGACTAACCTCAAGGTTGCCTCCGCAAGTCCCTTCGATGCCGTCAAGAGAATTGGCTTTTGCTATTTGCATTATAGACTGCCCCTCCTGCGCCGAAATAGAGGATGTTTTTCCATCGTGGGTTTCAAACGTCAAGTTCAAGGTCACTGGATGGGCTGGTCGATGCCGTCCCATTGTGCCTTCCGTGCGTGTGCCTTCGGAAGAAAGGCGATCCAGAATTCGTGTCCGCTCAGCATGGAAAGCAAGTTGCTCTTCTTCCGTCAGACCTAGCCTTCCCCTCCATTTACTGAGCAAGAAACGCTCCTGATCGAGGCTTCGTCGACCAACACCGAGGGGTTCTACGGATGAAGTAAGTGCATCGAAAAACTTTGAGGCTTCATTGGGAGAGAGAGATCCATAGATATCTCCTGGAGGAAAGTCGAGAACATTTGCAGCGTATTTATGACCGCCGACGTGACCAATTTCTCGAACGGTAATTTCGGTGGGCGTTTCATCTGCATCGTATGCCGGTCGTAGAGATGAAGCCAATGAGCGGAGGGTTGTGAATACAGCTTTCCCCGTTGTCCCACAGCGACAATCCCTTGATCCATGGGTACACACATAAATATGCCGCTCCCTTACGGGCGGCTTGGCTCGTGGTGTTGATGCGTCCAGCAATTTGCCCAACGAGTTTGCACCCCCAACGACTTGCGGCTGATGACCAGAACGGTACAACGTCGCAAGGAACGTTGAGGAGCCATCCAATCCATCCCTCAGCTCATTAAATGGATCAAAGAAATCCACCTTATTGTTTGGGTCGTGGGAAACATTGACCACTACTCCTTGAGGCTTGAGCTTTATTGAAAGATCTCGCATGAAATGTGAATGTACCAGAGGGTGTGCTGGCCAAGTGGATGAGGGCGAAGGTGTACGTAGTACTAACAAGTATGGATTGGAAGGTGCTGTCCCTGGCCGAGCTGGCATAATTGCAGAACCAGTTTCGTTACTGGATGTCGTGGGCCTTAATGAAGACTGGCAAAACCTCCGTGCGCACACTGGGGCAAATGAGGTCGGGTGATACAAACTCCAAAAACGCCATGATCCAGAGGCACGGATAAATGGCACCAACTTCTACATTTCCAAAAGATTGGGGACTTCGATTGTAATTTGGTCGAGGCACACACATACCATTGATGTGGGACGCGAATCTTTCGGGGTCAACAAACCGCAACAGTCTCCGGCGCGACTTTCATGAACTCGCCGCGCTAGATTCTTTTATTCTAGCTGCTGAGGGGTTCAGATCCTTGCGCTCGAAGACATTCTCCTACTTGATTCAGGCTTTTCATCTCATCGATGTCAGCTGCTCGTCTTTCGTCCATATCCGCCCAAACTCTTTCAGCTCTCCTCGAACGAACCCGCCTTCGGGAGCTGGGAAAGACCCCCCGTCATCACAACTCAGTAATATTAAGAGAAATTTGGAGGTACTTAGACTTGGTATACTTCAGCTCGAACGAAATCAGGAAGGAGAGAGCGCCGCAGCCAATGCCCTTAGGGGACAATGGGAGAGAGCAAAAAGAATGCTCGGGGAAGACGCAAGTGGCATACCTGAGTACGTATACTGCATGAAAACCCCATGCTCCCCGGCACCGATGTGATTCCATGCCGTCATTTAGTCTTCCTCCACCCCAGCAACAGCACACCCACCCGTCTCCGACGGTACAATTGCGTGACGCGATGTCTGGTAGCGATCCCGTCGCCACCCCGTACCGGGATGACCCTCTAGAGGCGCCAACGCCCGAGTTGAACTCGGTGGAGGAGGTTCAAGCACAAAGACAGATGATGGACGGTATGGCTTTGCTCCATATACTCATGCCAGTTGTGTATGTGGCCGGTGATGCTGATTTTATTCCCTTACTAGACCAAGATACCCAGCTTGAATCGCTATCGCACTCCATACGGCGTCAACAAGAGCTTTCTGAACAGATAGGAGAGGAGTTGGATGTTCATCATGGTCTTTTAGAGGACCTTGAGGCAGGTATAGATAGGACGACATTGGGTCTAGGAAGCGCAAGAAGGAGACTAGGCCATTTTGCGCGAGGCGCTAGGGAAAATTGTGAGCATAACGTTTACTCTGATTTCGGTTGCGGTCATGAACTGAGCCCACCGGAAGGTTCTGCATTCACCATAGGGACTCTCATAGTTTTGCTACTTATGCTAATAATCATCATCAAGACATAGGCTGGCTCATTGTTGGTCATGTATTTTTGCTGTCCTGTTGGCGGTCTTCCCGACTCTATTTTGCGGATCAAACATGATTCGCCCTGGTCTGCTTTTCAAAGTTATGGCGGTCAACAATTCTATGGCATCACAACTATGCAGCGTTAGCCATATATGCTCTCTATGCTTGAAACGGCAGTCCTCTTCATAGGAATTCGCTTCACGCTGCTATAGCTTTTTATGCTCGTTACCATGGTTCGACTCAGCAGTAT